CCAGAACTGCAGGCCAGTGGGGGCAGGGGTCTACAGCCCCAGGGCTGCGGAGGCACCAAGGAGAAGGTCCCAGCCACCCACCAGTGAGGATGCGGGTCTGATCACATTGACACTTGGCCTGGTCTTTGCTGGCGGGACAGAACGCTGAACAGGCCTTAAGGTGTTTGTTTGTTTTTCTTTCTACATTTTATTATTTCAAACCAGGTGAACAATTCCATAAAACATGTGAAAAAAGCAAGGAAGTGTTCGATGCTGAAGACCCCGGGACCTGGGGTGAGGGCAGGAGGGGCCAGGCCCCTCAGCAGGCAGCGGTGATGCCTAGGTTAGCGCTAATGAGCTACATTTGGGTTAATGGAGCCAGGGCCGCTGGGAGGGGCCCTCGGTGATGGTGGCAGTTGTCCGGAACAGCCCTTGGAACCCATTCTGGGGAAGGCAGGGCAGGGCACTGTCCCCATGGGGGGCCAGCCAGCAGAGGGGGTGTAAACACGCAGACACACTCAAGGCACGGAATCACTGGGAGAGCGGGCGAGTGGGTGGTGCTGGTCAGGACCTGACAGTTTTAAATAGTCTTTTTCTCTAAAAAGTTTTCTACTTTTTTTTTTCCCTTTACTTTCATTTTTTTTAAAAAGCGAGGAGAATGAGCAGGTGGTCAGCCTGTGGTCCCCAGGAATGGTGGCATCTCACAATTCTTGTGCTTTTTTCCTTTTGGGGCCTCCAAGCAGTTGAGTTGGGGAAGGGGTGGGCATAGGGGCAGTGGGGGTGGGGGTGAGCAGGAGGCTCCCTGTAAACATTTGGACTTGGGCTGCATTGGGGGCTGGTGTTGGGCGAAGCCAGGGGTCCCAGGCTGGAGAAGTGGGTGCCCCTCCAGCCAGAGGCTTTGGGAGACTCAAGCATGTGCTCTCCCCCCTTGCCCCCAATCACAGAATAAGACAACGGTTTAAAGACCAGGACAAATGCCCAGCTTGAAGGGGGCACCGTGGCCATTCTGGCACCTCGGCCAAGGGCAGGCTTCGAACAGAAAGACCTGTGGCAACCTCTCCCTGGAATCTTTAGAGCTGAGGGAGGGGCAGGGGAAGCCAAGGAGCGAGGGGAGAGGAGAGAGAAGTGGCCAGGGGCACAGGTGGGGTGCATGGTCCTCTTGCCCCCATCTTCCTCGGGGGTCGGGGGTAGCAGTCAGCGGTGGTCCTAGAAGTGGGGGATGATAATCAGTGGCGGGCCTCTCCTCCCACCTCGATAGCTCGCCCAGACAATGGCCCTCTCCTTTTGCCCACCCACCTGTCACCAAGGACACAGCCACCACTGCCACCTCCTCCCAGGGCCGGCTTCTGTTGCTGGGTTACATGGGGGAGGGGAGTCCAGCACTGGCCAGTCCCTCTTAGCTCAGCCCAGACCCCTGAACGCACTCGGAGGGACAGACTGGTCTGGATAAGGCAGAGGGACGGGCAGCTCAGCTCCCCACTCCCACCTCTCCGCTAGCAGGCAACAGCTGGCAGGCAGCCTCCTTCAGGTTAGGCCCCGAGCCTGGTCGGTGAAGGAGGTTAGGGCATCCCTGCAATCCTGTCCAGGGCACCGCAGGTCCTTCTGTCCAGACCACAGGGTAGAATCGGGCCCAAGCCTACCTGGACTGCTACTCCAGGTTGGGAGCCTCTCCTGTCCCCTCCTGACACCCGCCCCCCAACACACACAGTGCTCCTGTGGGCTCCCGGCCGTGCAGCGCGACTCACCACTAGATCTGGCGGCCCCGCGGTCGCTCAGAAGAGGCCGCAGTCCTTCAGGTTGTTCTTGATGATGACGTCGGTCACCGCGTCGAACACGAACTGCACGTTCTTGGTGTCCGTGGCGCACGTGAAGTGCGTGTAGATCTCCTTGGTGTCCTTGCGCTTGTTCAGGTCCTCGAACTTGCTCTGGATGTAGCTGGCCGCCTCGTCGAAATTGCTGGCACCTGCGGGACACGGAGCAATAGAGCCTGCTGCCAGGCACGGGGCGGGCAGGACCTGGCCCGCGGGAACAGCCCAACACCCGCGGGCGCGCCGGGTGATCATGTGTATATGTAGGATGGCAGGTGGGTGCACAGCAGGGGTGGCAGGAAGGGCCCCCATGAGGGCAAGCACAAGTCACAGCCCAAGGGCCCTCAGCCCCTCCCCTCCGCACACGAGGGCCTAGCTGGTCCCTTCTGTCCAGCGGGGTCGCCAGCCGCACCTGTGTACTCGGGGAAGCAGATGGTCAGGGGGCTGTGGGTGATCTTCTCCAGGAACAGGTCCTTCTTGTTGAGGAAGAGGATGATGGACGTGTCCGTGAACCACTTGTTGTTGCAGATGCTGTCGAAGAGCTTCATGCTCTCGTGCATGCGGTTCTGGGGGTGGAGGGGGGCGGTGAGCACGCGCCGTGGCCACGCCCCAGCGCAGCCCCAGAGCCCAGAGGCGCCCACTCACCATCTCCTCGTCCTCGGCCAGCACCAGGTCGTAGGCGCTCAGGGCCACGCAGAAGATGATGGCGGTGACCCCTTCAAAGCAGTGGATCCACTTCTTCCGCTCGGACCGCTGCCCGCCCACATCAAACATCCTGCGGGTGGGGGTTGCCTGAGCTCTTGGTGGGAGGTCTGGGGAGGAAGGGCTGGAGTCCCCGGCTCCTCCCACAGGCTGGCCCGCCGTTGGCCCCTCGCCCTGGCGGTGGCTAGGCCTGCAGGGTCAGGGGCCCGGACAGCAGGGTAGCTGGAGCCTCCTGGAGTCAGGTCCCGAGGGGAGGCCCACTGAGCTGGCCACTGGCTGGCTGGGTGGGAGGCCACGTGTGCACAGCAGCCACACCACCTTGAGAGACCCAAGTGGGGGGGCTCCCCGCAACACGGTGACCCCCCAGGCTGTGGGATGGGGGACAGGGGTCCTGCCTGGTGCGGCCGCTCACTTGAAGTGCAGGTCCTTGAAGGTGAAGTGCGTCTCCACAATGCCAGTGGTCTTCACGCGGGTGCGCAGCACGTCCTGCTGCGTAGGGATGTAGTCGCTCTGTGCGATGCGCTCCAGGTCATTCAGGTAGCTGGGGGGGAGGGGCAGGGGAGGGGCAGGCAAGCAGGTCAGCAGGGTGGGCAGTGTCAAGCGGTGGAAGCTATGGGGCCTGCTTGCCCAGATACCAGGCCGGCTGGCCAAAACCCCTGCCCTCCTTTTGCCCTGGCCTTACTCTGCTCACGCCGAGACCGGCAAACCTGGCTCGGCTGACCGCCTGCCTGTGGGCGGGCCTGGGAAGAGGTCATTCTGTGGCCAGGTGGCCAGCGAGGCGCCAGCACCTACCCGGGAATGTGGGGGGGGACGTGACACTGAGCCAGGCCTGCCTTGGACACAATCCAGAACTGCAGGCCAGTGGGGGCAGGGGTCTACAAATGTTTCTTCAGTAAGGGATCTGGGGTGCTCATCGGGCAATGATGGCACCCAGAGCAGGCAGCCTGGCAGTCCCTCAATGCGGCACCGAACAAGCTGGGGCCTGCCAGGCCCAGTGGGCTCCCTGCCCGGCACCCAGTAAAATTTGGGCTCCCTAGGGAAGGCATGACACCTGCTTGGGGAGGGGGGGGGCTCCCTGGGGCTCCTCATTACCAGCTCCTTAATTAGCATCAGTGCTGCCCCTCCTGGGCCCTGGGGCCAGCTCTGCTGCCTCCCTGGAGAGGCTGGTGCCCTGCAGGCTGGATTAAAGACTACTGCCCTTGGGCAGGGCTAAGTGGTCCCGCCCCTGGCTCCCACCAGCAGCCAAGCCGCGCCAGGCCAGAGGGAAATGACCTCAGAGGCCGGCCAGAACAGAAAAACAGGAAGGGCTGTGAGGGACCATGACGCGTGGGCTGTGACCTGCATTTCGCACCCTGACCCCTAGGCGGTGAGCAGGGGCTGAGGTAAGCCTGCTGCTCCCTGTGGGGTCCAATCTATGCCCCCCACCACTGACTGTGTTAGAACCTGGGAAATCGGGCCAGAGCTCACCGCCAAATCTCCCAACCCTGGACCCATGGGGCCCCCATGAATGGAGGATGAAAAACAGATGGCACAGGAGGGGACAGGGGCTAGGGAGTGGACCTGCCCCCCATTCTTGGGCAGATAGACATTGCTTAACAAGACCGCCTGCCTCCCCCTGCTTGGGGGACCCAGTGGCTGCGCCCCTGCTGCACCCAGGACCGCTGAGGGGGAGAGACTCCATCTAGCCTCTCGGAGGTCAATGTCCACGTGAAGGGCGGGACTTAGGAACCACACCGGCCAAGACCCGCCTTCCACCCACCCCCTTCTCTGGGCAGGCTCAGGCTCAGATAGGCAGTCAAGAGCAAGAAGGGGTTCCAGGCAGAGACCTACTTAAAAGGAGGCAGGGGAGACAGCTTAGGCCACAGGTGGCATATTATAGGACTGCAGTCAGGGTCCTGGCACCTCCCTATCTGTCCCATTCCCGGGGCCCCTGCATTGCATGCAGCAGGCCTCGGCCAGGTCCAGGGATTCCAGGCCTGAAGCAATGCCCAGCTGATTCTAGACTCTGACCTCTTGTGCACACCTGTCACCTCTGGACACTCCTCCTCCCTAGGCCGAGGCCCAGGCAATACCCCTCATACACTTCCCCAACCTCCTCCAACACTCCCACCCCTTCCATTCAGGACTCGGCAGAGGAAGCCCCTCCTGCAGCTCCGCCCACAGCCTGGTTGCCCCGCCCCTCACTGCTGTGTCCAGTGCCCTTCAGCATGACTGTGTATGTGTGTGTGGAGGGGGGCGCCTGGGGAGATGTGTGGTCCTAGCCATCCCGTCATCCCTCTTGACCGGCCCCAAACACCGAAGTCAACAGCCACTGACGACATACACCAGCAGGATCTTTCTGGGGGTTCCCAGGACCCCTCCGCCAGCCCCTCTCCCTGGACACTCACTAGGCGGCCGAGTCGTTGAGCTGGTATTCCCTCGAGCGGCCAAAGCAGGCCTGCACCCCGTGGTCTTCCCAGAGCCTCCGGATGACGCCGGACAGGTCATCGGAAAGCAGGGCCTGCTCCTCGGCCGTGCAGGACAGGGCAAACAGCTGCCTGGCGTCGTCCTGGGCACAGGGGGAGGGCGGTCAGCCGGCCACAGGAGCTGGGCAGGGGATGCTCTGGGTGGGGTCGGGGTGGAAGTGCCCACATACCGCCCGGGAGGGGTCGGCGAAGTCGATCTGCAGGTTGCCCATGGCCTTGACAATGGCCATGATGGACTGGATGGTGTTGCTGTAGACGACCGCCCGGTACTGCCGGCACTCCTCCTCCGAGTAGCCGTCCTCGTGGATGATCCTGCCGCCGGGAGGGCCGGGGCTTAGGGTAGGGCTCAGGGCAGGGCTGGGGGGGTCTGCCCGCCAGGCCTGGGAGAGGACCCCACCCCCACCCCTAGCCCGCACAGCACTTACTTCATCTGCTTGACGATGGTGCTCTTACCCGACTCGCCCGCACCTAGGACAGAGGGCGCAGGGGGTCAGGGGCAGGCCCGGCAAGGTCCACTGGCAACCTACCCGCCCATGACCGAACCGGAGGGAGGCAGTGGGGGGGGTGGCTAGCAGGGCGCTGTGGCCACCACAACCTGGACCTCGGGGACTCGTGAGGAGCCCTCCCCAGGCCTCTGCCTGTCCCCCAGCTCCACGGCTCTCCATGGCCCCAGCTGAGTTCAGGGGCCTGGCTGGGCCCTTGAGCCAGCTAAAGCCCACAGGAGTCAGCCTGCCGTCTTCCCCTCTCAAGCAGGGTTGCCCCAGGCTAGGGGGCCTGCACACCCCAGCAGGTCCTCCTCGCCTTCATTCTAGGCTGGGGCCCAGGTCCAGGACCCAGCCTGCCCTTGCAGATGATGATCCTGGCAGCCAGGGCCAAGCCTGGAGCTGCCCAGAGACCAGGATGTGGGGGGACAGCCTGTGTTACCTACACAGAATGCACGCACACATCCCCAAAGCCTGGGCCTGGCTCCTGTACCCCTCGGCCTTTCCCCGGCCACAGCTCCTCGCTCCACAAGCAGATACTCCTGTGTCACAGATGAGAACACCGAGGCCCCCACACAGAAGGACTCTGCTTGGCCCAAGATCATACACCCTGGGCTCAGAAGAGCCGGAGGGCCTGGGGGCCCGCAGCCTGTGCGCCCCCATCCCGGGGGCAGGCCTGGCTCCTGCCCCATCACCTCCACCCAGTTCCCTTTCTTGGGGACGCCTGTCACACTGACACGCGGCTCACTTGGAGACTTGGACTCCACAACCGGGTGGAGGTGATGTGTGTGTGTGTGTGTGTGTGTGTCGGTGACAGCAACAGTCTCCAGGGCACAGATGCTGTGGGCAGAGCCGTGCGCACACATCACTCAGGCTGGTAGGTTCTCATACCCACCCACCAACAGGAGAGGAGACCGAGGCATGGAGAGGCTGAGCACACACAGGGAAAGCCCCCCCTGGGGGTGTCCCACCTGACATGCTACCCAGTGCCTCCTGGAGCTGCCCATAGTGCCTCATGCTGCACCTCCGGAGTGACCACGGTCCTTGAGCCCAGCAGCAAGTATCTCTGGTTCACTTGGGCAGCCTCCAGTCGGTGCCCACAGGGCGGTCCAGGGAGCAGCAGCAGCAGGAGGTGCAGCTGGGGCCCCACTAGCCACCCACCACCACCACCCCACCCCCGCCCCCCGGGCCCCTGCCCTGGCCAGAGACGTGAGGCCAGCAGTCACCCTGAAGGCCTCTAGATACAGCCTCCCGGAGGGGACCAAGCTCTCCTCATGACCAGGGTCCTGGGAGACAGACAGACGGACACGCACACACACATGTACACAGGGTCCTGGCAGGCCTGGCCAAGGGGGTGTGGGCCAGGGGTCCTCTTGGATGATCCAGTCCCCACAACACCTGGCCCAGTATTCCCCTGGGCACGGGCTGTGGTCAGATGGCAGCCACCCCTCCCTCTGTCCCTTTGGGGTCAGCCATGGAAGAGAGCAGCCTCGCCTGCTGAGTGGGGACCGGGGAGAAGGGACCAAGGGACACCCATCACCAAGCCCAGCCCCCATCTGCTGAGTCAGACTGACAGCAACGCAACAGGACAGACAACTGCCCCACAGTATGTGGTTCCTGTGAGGGCGAACTTCTACAGAGTAGACTGCCTCACCTCCCTCCTTCCAGGCGGCAGGTTGCCTTGAACCTCAGACCTCTGGGTCAGCAGCCCGATCCTCCCCCACAGCACCAAGGGGGCTCCTTGGAGCCGGTCAAAACCAACACGTTCTGCCTCACAGCAGGCCCGAGGGCTTGGGGCTGGCCCCATGGTCTCTGAGACTAGTTGTTCACAGGAGTGGTCCGTGCACACCGGTTGTGCCCCAGGGCTCCTGGGGCCCATGATCCAGGACCCAAACATCCTCTGGAGCACGGCAGGGAGGGCAAGAGGAGCCTACCACTAGCTGTGTGTGTCTCTCTCTCACACACACACACACATACACACACACACACCCCGCCCCCGGACTGTGGTCTCGCTCCCACAGGGGAAGAGGCAGAGGGGCTCAACCAGGGGCAGAGGGAGGACAAGCTGGGCGTGAGGACTGCGGACCCAGGAGGGCAGGGGGCCAAGGGCTCTGCGCGGTCCGATCAACCAGCCTCCGAGAGAACAGCAGCCCGGGGGCTCAGTGGGTCTGAAGTCTAGGATGGGGCAGGGGCGGGCTCCCTGTCTGGCCACTGCAGGTGGACGTGGCACTATGTCATCAAAGGTGGGAGGGGCCCCGCATGGGCCCGAGCCACAGGCTTGCTTTACATATAATTTTCCTAGCAGACATAGCGGTGGGCAGGAGCTGGGCAAGCAGATCGGGGTTGGTGAGAGCCACCGTACTCTTGCTCTTGTGAGCTGAGCTCTGCCCCCCCCACCCCCCCGCCCCAGCCCTGGCCTCAGGATTGTAAAGGTGGCAATCTCTCAGCGGGGGTCACTGCACAAGGGGCCCCTTTTGACAGGTGGACACACCACCCCTCTGTCCTCCCAGCAGCTGTGACACGGGCGGGAAGAAGCGAGGGAAGAGCCAGGGTGTGGTGCTGGCCCTTGGCGGGAAGCAGGTCGAACCTGGCCTGGGACGCCAGGCCAGAGCCAGGGGCAGCTATGTCAGAGCCGGGGGCTAAGAGGCAAGTCAGCCAGAGCCAGGAGTAGCAACCTCACCATTCACCCCTCCGGTTCGGCCCCTCTAACACTGGGCCCCCTACCAATCAAGGGGCAACAGCCCGGAGTTCGCTCACACCCTCTGGTGTGGACACCTGGCTCCCCCACCGGCCCTGGTATCTCCCGTTGGCTCCGACTGCCCCAGGGGCGCTGGGAGACAGTGGGTTTCACCAGGTGCTCCATCCCAATTGGCCTGTGTAACCTGCAGAGCCACACCTCTACCCACTGAGGGAGAAAGCTGTGCAGTGCCTGCTTGCCCACCCACCCGCTGGGCCTGCAGCGGGCAGGTGGCAATGGCTGTGATTTCTGTCTGGGGTGGCAGCTGCCACCTCATGTTACAACATCTGCTTCGGGATGGGGGGGGGGGACGACGACACTGCACCCCAGGGTGGAGGGAGCAGATGGGAAGGAGGGAGACAGCACTGCCCACCACCCAAACAGGGCAGGCAGGGGCTCTACATCAGGAGGCAGGGGGAGGACCCGTTCCCTCGAGTGACCTCAGCCCTCCCAGGGCCCTGCCATTCAAGTCACTGCTCCCTACCGCCTGGACCCTCGCTCCCCGGGTTCCCTGTCTCACCGTGAGACCCAGCATGCTGCTGTCCCCCAACCCCCTCGCCCATCTCAGCAGGCCCCAAGCGCACGGGAGAAGTCATCAGCACTCCGATCTCACTCGCAGGGGACGTCAGCTTTCCCAGGCTTGCCCTCCCTTCCTGCAGCCCACAGGGCAATGCCGTCCTCGCCCTGTGCGTTCTCGGGTGAAGAGCCATGGACAGTGGTTCATGGGTGCCAAGGAGCTGTGGACAGGCCTTAAGTCCTCCCCGACGGCTGCCCTGTGACTGTCACTCCCCCTCTGGCCAGCCCCCCAGACCAGGGCCTTCCTCTTCAGGCAGTGCTCCTGGGGAAGCTGGGTCAGTCAGACACAGGCGTTCCCTGCCCAGGGCCCCCATGCGGGAAGCTCCCCTCAATTGCTGGGGCCAGGAAGGCAGCCAGCCGATGTGGCGTGCCTGGGGGCACAGACCCAGAAGCACAGTGCCGGGGACCACCCACTGCCGTTGGTTCGTTTGTGAGACGTGGGCAGCGGTCCAGCTGAAAAGCCACAGCTCCAGGCCCGCCCAGGGTCCACCCTAGTGAGGTGGGGGTGGGAGAGGGAGTCCTGGGAAGCCCACTCCAAAGGCAGCTGGGATGCCACCTCCCACTCCCAGCCCAGGAGGGTGCCACCTCTCTGAGCCCCACAGGGCCTGGCTCCCATCACCCCCCCCCACCGCCCCCGCCCCGCAGCCATGCTCCATCACCACCAGGGGGCGCCCGGCCACCAGGGAGGAGGGGCTGGACTGTGCTGGGAAGCATTTTTTGCAAAAGCGCTTCAACTAGGGACAGGCGGGCTGGGTGACAGCAGCCTCATTCCCGGTGAAGTCCTGGCAGGACCCCTCCCATCCCCTGCCCTGCCGAGCATGGGAAACCCCCGGCCTCCCAGACCCCAGCAAATGAGAACAATGGCCAGAGGAGGCTCCCTGCCAGACAAAGGCCCTCCAAGCCTCGCCCCTGCGCCAGCTGTCTCTTCCTTCCTCCAGGTGCATGTGACACCGGGGTGCCAACACTCCTTCCCAGGCCTCCTTGCTGGCGGCTTCTGCCAGCTGGGGTGCCTCCTGAGCTTCCCAGGGGTCCCGGTGGCCTTGACCTGGGGGAAGCACACCATCAACCAGAAGTGGCAAGGAAGTGAAGCTGAGGTCGAGTGAGGCCTTTGTCCAGACTTGGAGGACAGCGCCTTACCTTGAGTCTCACCCAGTATAGAGGGAACCGAGGCCCTGGGCCAAGAAGCCCTGGGGTGGGGGAGTGGTGGGGGGTAAACCTGCCCCCAGGGTCTAGGGCTGCAGGTCTCACAGATGGCAAGAGCCAGGTCAGGCCACATGGCCACTTGGTACCTCTCTTGCTGGGCACATCATCTGGGGTTCTCCAAGGCCGAGAGCAGTGGTTCTCAACATGAAGGTCAAATTCTTTCACATGGGGGCCCCCGATTCATCACAGTAGCAAAATGACAGGGATGAAGTAGCAATGAAAATAATTTTAGGTTGGGGGGTCACCACCACATGAGGAGCAGTATTTAAGGGTTACGGCATAAGGAAGATTGAGAACCACTGGCCTGCAGGAACCCTGAGCAGCAGCCTGGCCCGAGGGTCAGCCTCAGGGTTCCCATCTGTGAAAAGGAGCCGACGCCCAGGTGTGCCAGTTTAAGGCCTGCCCTGAGCGGCCCCCACACCTGGGGCCTCCCTCTGGCCCTAAGCTGCCCCAGCAAGTGTGCAGGTGCC